TTATCAGGATTTTTTAGGAATTATTAGGAATTTCATCAGGGATTTCGGAAAATCACTAGCTCCCGAATCCCTCGGTTAGCCACCTAGATTCTATGACACAAAAAGTGAGCATTAGTTACCACAGATTCTCGAAATGATATACGCTGTACTTTGCCCAAACAATTCTCCATTTGCTCATGTGAGTAGAATGAGGTCCATTCACGCGGATCACTTGACGGAGCGTTTGGAAAAGACCTGTAAAATTATGCTTTTCGCATACAAAATCACTCCAAAAAAGAAAACCTTCCGTCATTGTATAGATGCAAAAAACGCATAAAAACAGAGCTAACAACAGATCTACAGTTACAAATCGTCAAGATGCCTCAGCAGGGTATCAGAGTGACGGTTATTGAGACGAAGTAGAGCTGCTCAACAAATATCAAGGACATCCTAAGGAACCACTGCCTTGCAAGCGTTTCTTTTGGAAGGAACATTAAATTTTGGTAATCCTTTCAGGAGACAGAAAAAACGAATATTAAGGTCATCAGCCAGCGACTTCCAGACGATGCAACTTTGGTCAAAAAAACTTGAAAAGTTCCCAGCTGCATAAATTGGAGAAACGGGACGCGAAATACAACCTGATTCTATTATTCCGAGTAATCTTTTTTGCTGTTGAAAAAAGAGATCAGAACTCACATGAATAAATCCGGTTTCTTCCACGAATTATCTTTTATTTCTCGATCAGCGCGATCAAAAAAATCTAGCAATTCTTCCATAACTAATCTGAAAATTTGGATAAATAATGGTCTGCGCACAATATAACAGCTTAAAAGTTAGAACAGCCTTCACATTCACTACCAACAAGGCCTAAGCACTTGAAATTATCTCTTAGAACCATGCGTAACAAGTACCAAGAAGCACGTGTCTGAGGACTATCGATTGCCTCATCTTCTGAGAACAAATAAACGCAAGCTGATGGCAGTTTCCATTCTTGACATGCGCCAACGTTCGAAACTGTGAATGAATTGTAGAAGGACTGGACGCCGTGAACGGAGCCTTTTTTCAAAAGTAGTTGTGGG